TTATGTACATCTAGAATTATTCTTCTACCAATTAGGAAAAATTAGTAGAGAAAAGCAGTAAAAGTTACCAGTTAGTACTGATTTCTTCTGTCAATTAGTTAAAAGTTAAACTTTATAGGAATATAATTTTTAAAAGTGATTCAGACATTTCATCTAAAGCTGCTCTGGACTTTGCATATCCGTGTTTGAATTTAGGTTTTACACTTCTTTTTCTTTAAGTTAGCCATTTAAGATTAACGTGCAACTTGGATTTCTTATTCATGTTTGATTCGGCCGTTAATTGTTTATTTGGATTGGTCATTACATATCTTTCGGTACTGTCATACCATGACGTCTGAAATTTTATATGGTTTATGGCGTTGTGTTACTCTTCAATAGATTTTTTTTTTCCCTCAACATTTGCCTTTGTTTTCAGTGCGCAGTTTCACGTGAAACCACCAAAATATCTTGATATGTCTGGCTTTAAATCGTTGANGATATGTCTGGCTTTAAATCGTTGAATTTTTCTTATATTGTACACCACGAAAATTAAGTCATTAATTGAACATTCTACTGTTCAACGTTAAACAAAGAATGAAATTCACAAGTTATACCATTCCTCTCGTCAAAAATAGTGTCCTATATTTAATGTTTCAGAATCAAAATTTTGTCATATTTGCTGTGGAATAGTATGTACACATTTCTTAGCAATTTACATGTACGCGATTGTCTTTATGTGTACGTACTTATCTATACAAGTTGAATTAGTTTCATCCATAGATTTTTCAAAGTCGGTATACGTTCATTCAATTTGTCATATATAATAAAAATCTTGAAATTTTATTTTATATATATTTATAAATAAAATAAACGTAATCTACGCGTAAATTCAAATAAATATAAATAAATTCATTTTAATTCATATTTAACATTTAAAATTTAAAATGTTTATTGATAACCTGCTATGCCCACACGCATTTATTTATTTACGGATGGATTTTCCATAGATAAATCCCATGCTAATCGCAAATGTTATCAAAAAATTGTAATTTTTTTGGACAACAAAACATAACGTCAATCATCAATCAAATCGGTGAATCTTCGAAGAAAGAAAAACAGGAAAATTAGAAAAACCCTTCTATCATAGCATGAGATGCTAATAAGTGGGCCATGTTATTCACGTTTCACTGAATATAATGACACACCTGCCACGATTTAGGGGGTGTTTGTTTTTTATTCTCAAATTTTACAGTAAATCAATTTTTATTTTCAACCACACATTTTTCAATAAAATAATATTTTCCATCGCATTTCCATAATATCACTATTCAAAAATCAATTCTTTCCCCAAAAATTCCTACCAAACAAGCTCTTAAGTTTTGTAGTAGAGTGTAACGTGATTTTTATCATAAGTGTACGATATCGGTTGACTCAAATTCAATTCGAAAAGTCGTATTCAATCAAATTTACTAATTAAATCAATTATCTCTCTTGAATTTAAATCAATCCTATTTAGACAAGTCAACTCATTATGTCTCAATCCTATCTAACCAAATATATTTGTTAAGTTGGCTTGTAGACTTTATCTTTGTATCAGGTATTCATCACGTCAAAATTGTTCAAATGCTTTTTAATTGCATATATGGATATGAAAATAAAAACCACGATTTCTATGAATAAATCATTGAGAAAAAGATCCATGAAAATAATTATGCTCGTGAATTATATTTGAACAACGAGGATTC